AAAAACTGGTCTCCGAAACTTTTCATGTGACAACGTTATTCTCCTACAGAAGTCCCTCTCTCATGCATCTTCCTGGTTTTATTTCGAATCGTTGCTAAGTAGCAATTTTAAACTTTTCGTAGAAACGACCAATTTAGTTTTCGACACGTGTTGCCCCTTAGAAATCGTCTTTCTCTGTAACGGCCGCGTCTCTTCTCCGACCTTGAAATCCTTAAAGACGGAAGGGATATTTCTACAAAGCCCGGGATAATTCTAAAGATACATTTCCCTTTTGGTAAAGAAAGAAATCAAAAGCACTAACTCACTGAATGTTAGTCATCTCTTATGCAGCCACAGCAGTAAACGACTATGGCAAAGGGTTCGGCTGCTGTGTGGAAAAAAAGCGAAACAAGTGGAACTTACTGCGGACGTTGATAGTATCAACAGTGCATTCATCCACCAATCAAATGACTCTCCAATTAAATTCATTCCAGAAGATGATGCCCGCATAATCCCGTTCTCCACAGAAGTATTTAAGCTTCTTCCTACTTCCAAAATAACCTCAGGTATTGGTCCTGATGGCCTATCATCATCGCTTTCGAGACATGGTGTTGTCGCTCTGATCGATATACTTACTTCCCTCTTACATAAATCTTTGTGCTCATTTTCTATTATCGACTGCTGGATACCAGTCACTATTTTTTCCATTCTCAAACCTTTTAATTCTGTGTTAATAGCTAAAAGCTCTCGTTCTATTGCTCTAACTTCATCTGGTCTCAAACTTACACAGCGTGCCATTCTAAAACGTCTAAATTCCTCTATAGACTCTCCCGATGACCCATTTCAGTTTGCCCATACACCGAACAGGATGATATCACTTCCTTAGTCTACCATATAACCAAATCCTTGGATGGGTCGGCGAAGTCTGTGAGATGCGCTTTTCTAGACTACTCATACGCTTTTGGTTCTATTCCGCGATATCTCCCCCTACGTAAACTGGAAGCTTTTGACTGTCTCACACCTTTACCAGTGCACATGACTAGGTTTTAAAACATCCAACACCCCGGTGAACAACTCAGGAGTGTTTCAGGAAGGTGTAATTTCCCCTTATTCGTTTTCCACCTACATGAGTGATCTAACATCCAGTGCTCCTACAAATTTACTTAAATATGTCGATTATGTGGCCCTTTGTCAAGCTGTTTCTGCAACCCAGGACTTCAATAATTTTTCCAGTATTCTGCCCCATATCTATGATTTCTCTGTTCGATCCGGTGTAACTCTAAATTTTCTAAAATGCTTTGAATTCATATTTATCCCTTCTCGATCGGCTTATCCTTATGATCAGTATATTGTTTCAAAAGAGCCACTAGCCACAGTGGGTCCCGTCAAATACTTAGGAATCACTATCGGTGCAAATTTGAAGTGATCGCGTCATTCGGTTGTAAAACAAGTCCTGAAAAAAGTTACCCGTTGTGACCGAAACGTCGATAACCTACCAACGATTTTGATTACGTTGTGTTATTAAACAATAAAATCTTACCATGTTCACGTCACATTTCACACTGTGTAAAAAAACTACGCCGGCTATCTTACCAGGTCCAAAAGCTTAGGCATTTTAATGTTAAACGGAGTGCTATTTCCTTTTTCGTTTATCAACGTGTTTTTTTTCCTGTTCTACTTTACTGTCCCCTTGTTACTTTTGTTGGTCTACTGAAGAAAGATTTGAAAATTCATCGTCAAGGTCTACCTATTATCCGTAGAATATCTTTCATACCCTTAACTAAACTATCCCCTAAGTTGTGCAAATTAAACCTGGCCGCATGTGAATGGTTCGCTCACAAAATCCTTGCAGACAGCACTCATCCTTTACACAGTGATCTATCCAAATGTAACTCTCTCGCTCCTACTCGTTCTTCTTTTCGATCCATACCCTCTCGGAATAACATCTACAAAAACTCCACCGCTCTATATCTGGCCCGAATCCTCACAAACAGGGCACGAGTATCGGCAGAATTTCTTAGCAATTTTGATACATAATCGTCCATCCCCTCGATTCGATGACGTGCAAAGTGTAAATCTTTTTTGACTGAACTGCGGAAGTCTGTCTAAGCAAAAGTCTGGTCCAATACAAATAAACACACTATTGCCATGATCCTTGTACACACCAACATAAAAATCCTATTCGCCATCAGTTTGGTACTTTTCAGCTAGTTTTTTGGCGAGCACATCCTTTGACATTTGTCTGTCATGACTGCTTGGACAACGTCTTGATTTTATGCGACAGCTGTTGGCAATTCTCTTTTGTCAGTCAGCATCTCTTGATGGAAGAATGACCCATCAAAGATATTCTGCACCAACGTAAACACTGCACAAGATATTGTCTCATGGAATTCTTTATCTGCGAGGCAAAATAATTACTGAAACCTTTCGGACAGTCTTATGATGTTGCTTACTTCTGATGTTTGCTATTGACAACTGTCAGAAAGACAAAACTTAAACATGGTCAATTTGCAACGTTTGGAAGGTACGCATATACAGTGGAAAGTTGCTGTATCTGTAAGCTAATTTGCTGATCTTCTTTTCAAAGGAAAATTTCAACGCATTTTTTCCAGCTTGAAAACAGAAAGAATCAAAATCTGATTACTTCTGTCGGTATCAGTAGCACAGAATTTCGTACATCAAGCGGTGTTTACCGGTCCTTTGACGCACTTCTCACATTCACAATCGGCCACAGATTCCAACGTCTTTATTGGTTCGGCTGTTTGATGCATCAACGTCGGGGCTTGAATGTCCCGAACTTGGTTGCTTCACTGTAGGACCACCCCGTAGGAACTCGAACTATTCAAATCATGAAGAGCACTAAAACGGCTAGGTAAAATCCGATTGAAAAACATGCGGAAAATTGAAACTGTACATCTAATGATTAACTAGCAGCACAGTGTGCAGTGGTTATCATCCAAACGGTCAGCGTATTACAAATGTACCGTAAACATATTCCTCTGAAAACTAATGGAACACTTATATCAGATCTATATTTCTATTCGATTCGGTAAACGACTGCGGTCAGCAACGAGAGTAGTGAGCAGTGAGTAAAGCTTCACGGTTGTCCACATACCGGAAGCGGCTTCACTCCGGAAACCCTAACCAGGTGTCTCTGTTTCGGAAGACGGGAATCAGACAGACAACCTACCAAAGATGCAGCGAATAAAACAGATGGGCTCAAAGAGAAAGTGACGTGAGCGACATTAAACAGGAAAAATTCATCAGGAAGTTTCAAGAACAGAATTAGCATAACGTATGGTCGATTGAAATTAACCAAAAACAATTAAGCTGTTTTAGAGTTCCATGAAACGACGGTGAAGCACAAATGGAAGAGCCCCGCTAAACTGCGATGAGTAAATACAAACTGGGCCGTTGATGAACAACTAAAGGACATCGACCAAAAAATAAGCAGCGCGAAAAAAGTGCTGAGGCAGGTTCCTGCGGTAATCTTGATTTTCATTCCATACTTATGCAAAAATGGCAACTGTGCTGTTTGTGCTTCCCAGTCATAATCAGTTATCCGCATACCAGGGTTCTCTAAGCTTTCGTGATGCTGATGCGTCAGTTTTCATGTTTTACCTTGTGTCCTCACTACGTTGCATCAAGTATTTCTTAGTGATAGTATATTTGTTTCTTGGTTTTCTCGTCCACAGACAATATTTTACATTAGCTGAGGGAGGATCAAGATAACGGTGCACAGAATATCTCATTTTCAAGCAACCAGGACAAAAGATTACATGCCGGCTTTGAAATCAAGTCACAAGTGAAACCAAATAAACAACCGAAGAGGGAATTATTTTGCTGTATTTCATTCTGGTTCGGAAAAGAACTAGAAATTAATTTTATAATTATTGGTCATGTGAATGACGTGACACCTGTGTGATCAAAAACTCACTGCATCGTGAAAATAATCGGGCATCTAAGTCGTTCAATTAAAGTGATCGAGAACTTCCTAATCATACATCTACCAGCCACGAGATTGTTTTCTGTGGAGTGTTCCATAAGACTGCAGCTATAACAATTGGTTAATTTATAGAAGACATATTAGATCAGCTAAATTTTTAGATAGCCTAGAGAGGCTTTTCATGATCAGAATGCAGACTGAAAGTTGATCCTCTTCCCAGTAGGAATAGCAACCAATCCACAGTACACCAAATCTCGAACGCTAAGCGATCGTTTCAACCAAGTACCGTAGTTGGAAATTTGTCATGATCTGTTGACACTGCTGCAACATGCTTAGGCAGATCGTCACGTCCATCTTTACCGGTGTAAGCGTTCATGATTGTTTCTGCACTTAATGAGTTCCGGTCCACTGAGTGTTCTTTTTGTCTTTGCAGATCATGCACGTGCAACCCCCACGGAAGACACTGCATCGAGCACACCACAACTACAAATTATCCTCTCCCCTCTGCTTCATATTCAGATGCCATTTTGACTTTATTAAGACAGAATTTTGATAAGTATCAGCAAGACACTTACTATACCACAACAAAATTGCTATAAATTTGCAACACTGACGTTCGTTCTCTTGCCTCGGTAAGCTTTGTTCCTCTGTTCTACCGGAAAATTGATTCGGAAGATCGGTTAACAAAGCCTACGCCCTGGGTTTGGATAAATTCATGTTCGAGGTTGACTTCTCTCTTGAGGCTGAATGCAACAGTGCACATTTTAGTCTATCCGAGATATGTTCTAAGATCGCAGAGTTTGATGTTTATATATGATGTAGCAAATTCCCAAACACACCACATAAGATTTGCTTATACGCTCAGATACACCTTTCCTCACTGATACCTTCAAGACACTTAGTATGAGTCCCATGTTTTTTTGATCACGTGGCTCTACCGATTTACTTTCAAATAATCGATATCTTCCTGATGAACTCTACCCCAGCTGGACCACATTCTTCATAGTACCTCAACAACTTTCGTGGCATGAACATTTTAATTAACAAGGAGTAAACTGTGAATATATTTGAGCGTATGGAGACTAATACCTATTCAACGATCCATGGATTGTCCACACAGAGCACAACAGAGTTAAATAAAGATTGTGGGAAACAGTTAGCAGTTTATTATACCCTAAATAAACGACCGAATGTGCGATCACAAACAAGAACTAACCGCGCCTATGAACTACGGGTAGGAGCGGTAAGGAAACCGGTTCGTGATCCCACACCGAATTATCAATCAGCGGCACCTCGACAGTCTCGACAAGGTCTCACTAATGACAATATGATGGACCCAACCGCATATGACGAGCAATATGTCAACAACATAGTAATAATACCGCCCAACACTGATGTAAGCTTTGAACCAGGAGACATGAACCATCAGTCACCAGAAATTTCCATTACCCGTTCTGGAGGTCTGGTTAAGTCTAGAAATGACTCTCAGGAAAGAGTTCATCCAGTGAAACCTATGTGTAATGATCAAAACAGTCGGTGTCAGGGTGACTCAAATATGAAAGATAAGAATCATGAAATAAATGATCCACAAACCTCAGTTTTTCTACATAGGAACTCTCCTCAGAAGTGTCACCCATCAGAAAAACGCTCAAACAGAAATATGGACACAGAACGTGAAGCTCGCATTTTCCGTGATATGCAGTTAGATCATTCGAGGGCCTTGAGGACCGTAAATGAAGCCAACATTAACTGGATGACCACATGCGAGTCACAAATCCAGTTGCAACCATCCGCAGAGAGTGGCGATCCAGTTTTCTCACGAATTAATGTAACCGAAGAGGACCAACCTGTTTTGGTTACTGTACAGCCACCTCTTGTGACAAAAGCCGCAGCTAATCCATTACCAGTCAGACGGAATGGGGATCAAACCGGTGACCATACAATTGAACAGTTTAGCCCTTACACTAGTCCTTCTCTAAGTACCGAAGAAGTGAGCACACCCACTAAGAGAAGGAAATCCCTGTTAGCAACTCAATCTTCCAGAGCACTACCTTATCGCATACCAACGAACCGCCAACTGCCTATGCTATCTCAATCAGTTTGGCGTGAACAGGAACGTCGACATATGGAGCGCACAACATCCAATCCACCTAAAATGGCTCGAAAGTCGAAGAAACGATGGCGCTCTAGAGGATTTATGACGCTTTTTGGATGCCTGAGAACCGATCATGATGATGGGACAGATGCGACACAAAGTTCATTCTCCCGAATCGACCTTGCTCACGACAATTCCAACACTGAGGATCAACGAACATCAGCAATATCTGGATCCAGTGTCCCAACAAGCAAAACAAGGGAAACATCGGCTGAAAAAGATACCGACAGTCAGACAACCAAAGCAACCTCAATGGTAAAAAAAGAACTGGAAAAAGTGAAATCCATCTGTCAACCAGTTCACTCGCAAATGCCTATCAAACCCGGTCGCCGTTTTGTATTAAAGAAGCACTATTTGCATCGGACATCACGACCATTTATAAAGATAAACAAAACGGTAGCGCAACTGATAAAACAACAAAGCTGCGGAATGGAAACGATATACAAGGAATTCGGAAATGTACAACGCTCGATTCGTGAAATGACCTGTCGAATAGATATGATAACACAATCGCTAGAAAGTCAGAAAAAAACCCTACTAGATTTCATCCGGCGAATCGAAACTCAAAAAATTGTAGACAATTCACAGAATCCCGACCGATTTCCCCCAGTTATCAAGATTCCATCAAATCGCCATTCCGGAGAGCGAACTGAAGTGCTACAACATGGGTCAGGAGATACAGTCCCAGTAACCGGGACTGCTTGTAGACCAGCTGATATCACGCTTAAACGAGATCATTCGTTACCTACGCGGCACCTGCAAACCCGAAACCTACATACCTGTGATAGCCAACAGAGTTCTTCGAATATATTTTGTGTCTCACCTCAAAGGCCTGAGACACAGGCACAAAAACAACAACAGTGTCTAAACTCATCAGACGATTGTACAGTTGGCACTGAGCACCATTCAAAGCAATCCGATGAGACAAACAGTCACAATCCATCATATAAAGGCTCGTCCATGGATGTTAGACGTAATCATAGTATTTCCATCCGAAAGCCATCATTCTTATGCACCAACCAGGGCGACGGTTGTCATCAATATTTCTCGGTTTCCAAAAACTCTCATGCAAAACATGTCAATCAGGCGAATGAAAAAACACAGGGTCCAAATACCACAGCTAATATGAATTTGGTGAACCACTCAGAACCGACAAGTCATTCGTCCGCTCCGACATCACCGACCACAACACAAGATGAAGCAGAGCAACAGGCCCAAGACAACCATGACCTGCAAAATTACTATCGCATTGCTTATGTTGAACAAGACGCTACAGGTTTACAAAACGTGCTGTATCGAGGTCAGCGCCTGGCTGCTGCTTCAGCACAAGCTGCAGATTCGCACTGTCTCCGTAACTTGTCTGACGACATGAATCACGCCAACCCCGGACGAGTTCTCAAAGAAGCCAGGCTGACTGCCACTGAATTTATTCCACGTTCACGAACGGAATCAAAAGGCTTAGAAAATTCCCTTATTCACGCATCATCTACGAACAACCAAGCTCAAGACATCCAACTTAAACACAAGAGGAAAGGTTTTCATCCCTTAACCAACCGGGCGCCTCATAGTCACCATGCAATTCACCATACTCACCGCAGAGAACTGATCCAACAAACCAAAGACCACAAACCCAGCCTAACTTGTCGGAGACGAATAGTGGTACAGAAACCTGGCGATATAATAAGGCCTTCGCACAAACAAATGTGTGCCGGGTATCGTAATACGTCTGCGATTCCGTACGACGAAACTGACGAAGATTATTTACCTGAACCTGTTCCCAAACTTCATCATGTGGAGCAACGACAAATTTCAGAGTCCTACTATACTACAGCCCCTGATCCCTCAGCGAAAATGGGAGAGACAAGACCGCATCACCAGTATACAAAGCAACGTCACAAATCAAAGGCAAACAGACACGCAAAGTTTCGGGAAAGTTTGCTTACTAACCAGTCTGCCACAGATAGACCAAAACGACATCAGACAGCTGCAGCTATGTGTAAATCGAAACACCACCAAAAATGGATTGATCGAAATAATAACAGTCAAGACTGGGAACCCAATGAGACCGACCTGCTTAATGCAAATCAGGTTTGCACCGATTTTGCAGAATTGTCATTCGATGAACTGCATCAGAAACCGCAAACAAAACTGCGTTTTGTCGTTTCTAAACCAGTGAGAAATCAAGCAGAGTCAACGATTGCTGGTGACAGAAAAAAGCCGATGGAATTTGCTCTGCCCGGCCCCGAACAGGACAAGCAAATGGGAGTAGTTGAAAGATTCATGGATGCAAAACGTGAGAAGAGAAGAACAGAGGATGAACAACGTATAATGGATGAACTCAAACGTATAGCAAACCAGCATAAAGAACGGTTGGGCGAAAAAATGAACCCGAACGGTGACAACATTTGTGAAGGTTCTAACCAAGCACAGACCTCCAATTTAATAGATGAAACTCTCAAGACACCTCCAGAATCGGCTTCAGAACAAAACCCACAACCGAACAAGGAAATGACCGCATTAGAGCGCTGCCGAGAACAAAGACGTCGTCGTTTGGAAGAGAAAACACAAACGGATTTGAAAATGATTGTAGCCATGACTGAACAAACTGTAGCAGAACGAAGAGCACGAACAAGTCGGAGAAATCCTCAAGGATCAGAACAGATTGGTAACGTGCTGAATAATATGGCCGAAAGGGTAACTGGAGTTGGTGAAACTCTGCCGGAGCAACCAAACCCAAAGTTGACACTTAGGAAGGAAAACAAAAATGCACAAAGTGTGACATCTGATGCGCCAACTAGTCCATTTGACACCCATCTGGAAACAGAAAAGGATGCGCAAAAGATGGTAGCTAGTGATATCGCATCATTCCCAAGACGATTAGAAGAGAATGGTGTTCAAACCTGTAACGAAACCATGGTTGAGATGAAAATGGAAACGCCACGGTTACCGGTGCACTTAATGACTGCGAACAGCTGGAATGCACCAGGATATTATGTGGCCTGTGGTATGCCACTTATTGTCCCTTCATACAGCTATTATTCTTGGCCAAATCTAATCCCACTATCCCACACAATACCCCTGTCATACGCTCCTGCTTTGCTTCCAAGGCCAGCTTTACACACAGTTAGTGACCCAAGGACAACTCGTGATGCGATTCGGGCAGCGACTCAGGGCGCTTATCCTACCAAGACTAACTGCATTGAATGCGAATCATCTAGTTCCTCTAGCCTATCTACCACCTGCAGTAGAGGGACTAGTTCATTTGGAACAAATGAGAGTGTGGACACCGACTGTGTGCCCACTGACAGTTCCTCTTCATCTCCAGCAGGTGACCATTACAAAAATGAAACGCGATCTGGAAATGAATTCCACAACACCAAGCGGTACACATCACCACCACCACGGCCAGGGAACAGAACATGCGTACCACTACAGAATCCTTTAACGACTACAGTCAATTCATATGCACATCCAATTCATTTTCGTTTTGGTCGGGGAATGTTATCGGGTACACGCCAGTATTCCAGTAATCAGGCGCCCCGATATCCTCCACAAAGAACCGTTCGGTTCCAATTAAATAAGCCCAGATAGAATTGAAATCATCATGGTGTGTGAGCGTTTGACTATAAATACCTTCACAAGAACCCATCTGTTTCGGCTACGCAACCTTGACGACCAGGGCATTGGAAAAGCTGCTGAACCAATTGCGGTCGTGAGCCTGTTTGTCATCGACCTTCCCTTGGCCCATTCACCCCATTAGACCATGACCCTGTCAGGTCTACGTCCAGCTGTGTACAATTATTCCAACTGCGTTGTATAACAATCTATTGCGACATTCGCCAAATTTAACATAGAACGAAAAAACACTAATTCCATTATGATTTGCACTTTCAGTCAACCGGCTACAAAGCTCGTACCTGGAACTGAATTACAACTAATTCGATTGGGCTCCTACTGGTGAACGAAACCGATTTTACTCATGTTGGGGACATAGAAACGTATATGTTCCAAGGCATTTAGTCAAATGAAGACTGGTAAATCTCAGAAGGAAACAGGAAGTCCCACTTTCGGCAACTGTTAAGTTAATCGTACTGAGTGGAATAGGTTAGATTAGACTGTCTAGCACGGTCCCTGGAGAGAAAATCGCCCAAAGTCCATTTTAAAAGTCACTGAATCGTTTACACTTTGATTTAAAAGTCGTCTATACTCTCACATTTGTAAACGAGTGGGATTCGGTCGTCTGAAATTGCTTTCTGACAGAGCACTGTGTTAAAACACTCCACCCTAATAACAAAAATGACAAAGAATAAATTAGTTACAGAATTATTAAACCGAGTGATTATCTTACCAAGTCTGAGTCATCTTGCCTTTGAAAACCGAGGGTGGCTAACTGTTGCTAAATACATATATCCATCTCTAGATGTCATGACAATAACGCGGATTCTTCAAGGTGATAGAAGCTAAACGGTTGTCACTGACCGCACAATTTGTAAGACGCAGTTGTTTAGGAAAAACATTTCCCTGAATTATTGAATTTGACGAGAAATAGTCTTATTGAAACTGACGTTCTCGCATAATGTCTGGAGTATAAACACAAGTGACATTAGATCACATGCGGAAATGAGTGGTTTCGCCAGAAATGAGAACGACTAGCCACACATGCTCATACCAGCCAAGCATCAATCATTGTCTACTTTGAAGTAGCATGTATCTTTGTGCAATAGATAGAGATCTATAGGGATAATCCTTTGTGGAATTCACACTATGACAAACAGAACAAGAGAATATGATGAAACGTCAGAATCACTGATTCAAATGCCCCAATAGTACTCAACTATCATGTCCCCCGAAGAGTGATGCAAAACATTTACGCAGCAAATAAAAGTAGTTCAGTGATGATAACGAATTGTGGTGTATAATTGTGTGAATAAAAGCTGTACATAGAGCGATTAGTGCACACACGTGGTTAATTTAGTCATATCAATATCGTACAGGAACGTTAACAGTTATATTTTAATGCTTTCTGGAATGCTTTGAATGCTTCGAGTGCTTGTGTGATTTCTTGTGTTTTTTGTGCTCCCCCAAGCTGGATGAGCTTGATAGCTTCTTTAATAGCTTTTCGCGCTGCTTCTCCGATAGGTTGCGCAAGAATTCCATGGCCAGTGAGTCTTCATCTCTGGTGCTCTCTTCCGATGCACCACTCAGTGTTTGTTTTGCTTTTTGCAGTATATGACTATAACGTTCTAATTCAGTTCCGCGCTTCAAAGTTAAACCCTCCTTCTGAAGCCCGGCGCGAACGTGGTCCACTGTGGGTACTTCTGTACCTGTTGGTTCCTGTGTGAACGACTGACCATACAACGGACAGACCCGATCCGTGTTTAGATGACCCCACTGACGACAACGCATACAACGCACATTACGTACCTCGATGGCGAAAGGCTGATCTACAATGTCTGACGAATTTTTGCAGTAGCTCTCTCGAGGTGCGCTATACTTGCGTTGCCATTCAAACCTGACTTCTTTGTCGTCGCGCTCCGGCTGAAATTTGCAGGAAGAGGTGTAGTGGATAAATGAGAAGAAAAAACCATTAACTTCAGAACAGCTTAACGGTTCGTGAGGTGGAAAGTATGAAGCACATGCAGCCAAACAAATCGGGCAAAATTAAAATAAGATCAGCGAATTCCACTACGACTACAAATTGAGCAAAGTTTCTAACAGAAGACAACCCTCGTTCCCTGCATACCAGCCAAGAAGTCAAAAGGCATCAATGGAGACCCAAACTATAACCAACTTATCATTTCTCTTCACCGTAGCACGGTTCGCCTGCCGAAATGCAATTTCCATCAGCGCACATGGACTACTGATACGGGTCGATATCCTGTCTTTTTTGAAAGATGAAGGTACGGCTGTGATATTTAAGTTAACAAAACTCCTCTGGGTAATCTGAGTTAGTGAACAGATTCCCAAGGAATAGTGCAAATCGGTGATTGTACCGATTTACAAGAAAGGTGACAGGTTTTCTTGTGAAAACCCAAGAGGAATTAGACAGGTGAGTATCGCCTCCAAACTACTCACGGGGCTTAACCTTTACTGATTATCCCACACCCGTGAAAGTTGTACGCGTAAGAATCAAACCGGTTTCAGACCCGGTGGGGGTCCAGATCCTCACCCTTCAACAGATTTCAGGGCACAAGTACACCTTTCGTACGCCCAAAATCTCTGCCATCCTTGATCTGAAAGTGGTCTTTGATTCAGTCGACTGCACAGTGCTATGGCACACCCTCTGAAAGGTGTGTCAAATGAACTCATTCTTCTATCTAGATTATTGTATCCGACATCCGAGAGTCGAGTTCATGGGCCTAGCAACTTCACACTCAGGTTCACAGAACGAAGTGGTATGCGTCATGGTTCCGCTTTTCGGCTCTTCCTCGTCAATTTTGTCATTAAAATGGTTCTTCGGATAGCCCTGTCCTCGTGTGAGGATAGTGGTATCGACCTCTCCTCAGGCAATAAACTGTCTGATTTGGAATACGCGGACTATATAGTTACTCCGAGTAAAGATCCAGGTAAGTTGCAAGCTTTCCTTGATAGTCTAATCAATAGTGTGGCAAAGTTTGGGATGAGTTTTGCACCTTCAAAGTGTAAAATGGAACTGCAGGACTGGGTTTACTCGACAAAAGACCTTGTGTTGGAGGAGGAAGCTCTAGCTGAATTAGATAATATTTGTTACTTGAGCAGTTACATTTCACCAGGTGGGTAGATATCGGATGAAGTTTCATCCTTCATGCAGTAGGCTCGTTTGGCTTTTGCTGATTTGAACCACCGGTGGCGTCGGTGTAGAATCCCAGCTTTCCACCGAGGTATAATTCGGCGGAGCAATTGTTCTCCAATTATTCATTTTCAAGTCGTTTACAGATTACACAGAAGACATTAGGTACACCCCTGCCTTCGATTAATGTCCATTTCATATACATCCTCAAGATCTGTTGCCTAAAGTCTTCTATGTATTCTGTGAATGGTTTGATGATGAATTAAAGAAAAACAATTGTTTCGAAGAATTGAACTTTTAGTTGATATGATGGGTATTTTCGAGAAATGTTCATCAAGGGCCGAGTGCACACGGTAGCAGTTGGGTCTGGCCTCGTTTGCGGCTCAGAAACACGTCAATCACGAATGGAAGGTACACGAAGACTAGCAGTGTTTGGACAGTGCTGCTCACACAGGGTGGTAACACCGTATCAACAATGCTGAGGCTAGGCGTTGGGACTTGGAAATCAGAGGTTAGTTTCTGAACAGTTTAAGATGGTTAGGACGTTACCCATACTCAACGAAACTTTCTCGGTGTACGCTGTTCTTCAATGCAGGTAGTGATTGGAAGGTAGATCGAGGTGGCAAAAAGTTATGAAGACCTTAACCAGTGGGCTTGTTCGAGTTGAACATTTAAGGCTTCCGGGTTGTAGTTCGCTAGATCCACCCACTGGAAGGATGGAAACACCAAGTGATATAGCTAGGTGCCGGCATCGGTGGTGTAGTTGCATTCATATTCTCTCTTCGTCTTTATGATTTCCACTTATAACTTTCCGTTGGCTTGGTTTTTATAATTCTATCCAGTTTGCTCTTGTTTAGCCGATGCTGAGAGGTAGGAACCAGAACCAAAGCACATAAGTGCAGGGTTACCGGTCAAAAGAACGAAACTAAGCTGAAATTGTATCCGCCATATCTTCACTCCCGTGCTCATGTTCCAGTTTGTTTGCCTACTCCCACTATATCGTTTGTGTACCAACCTATTCTCAAGCCAGTCTAATCGATGTAATTGTCCGTGTATCTTTTGCTCGTGGCTGCGCTTGACCCGCTTGTTGGCCTTAGCGTATAGCTTATTACTGACCCCTGGTTTCCAACTGATGTCATCGTTTGTGGGACCTTTTTTCTGGTTGTGTCTCTCCGTTTATTGAAATATTGATTGCCATTCAGACTCTACTGACATCACTGTTTACGTACTGGTAATCATGCTTCATCCCGATCATGCCTTCGCGCTGTTTATTTGTGTACGACGTTACTGGTCTCTTTCCTTCCCCCCCCCACCCTTCGCCTTACGGCCCGTGAGTTGAACCGTCTGTCTCACCCAGTAACATGACTCTATGTTAAACACTGACCGTGACTGATCATCTTTAATCGTCCGTCTCATACAACTGCCCGCCCCTTGTTTATCGCATGACTTTGTTTTCAACCCCGTCCGTCGACGGGTGACTGATCTGTACATCGTGGCCGGATTGCCCATCCTTTGCGGCACGCATGAATTTATGGTTGGCTGATTCTCCCAAAATACACATCGATTATGGACTTCGTGTTCTGATCAGGAATATGGTGTTCGAGTCATTTAACTAGTGGATGACGGTCAGGTGCATTAGATCTCCCTTACTCGACTGTTGATCTGACTGTGAACTCACTCACACTACACTGCAATCGACAGCGAAAATCCAAATATTAACAATGGACGAACGGGTTGACTTTGTACATGTATCAAAAAAGACGTGACCCTTCAAATATCGGTATCTGCACTAAGTGTGTTTGGTACAGATAATAAGGGTTAAGCTTAGGATGTATAAGTAACACTCTCATTTGAATCGATTATGTAAGCCTCAGACAACTAAGCCCAAGTTACGAGGTCAGAATCCCACCAACTCCAGTCCTTGTTGGTGATAAGCCGCCCTCTATGGTTGTTGGTCCAGCTTGTTACTGCACCTAGCTGATTAAGTATCTCTCTAATTTCAAGATCTTTCCCCAGTTCTCCCAGTATGATTCATAAGCAAGAAGTTCGAAGTCCTGTGTGGTCTCGTGAATCAGCTGGTAGGGCACAAGTGGTATTAAAGCGTGAATGGCAACCATGCGTGGGTTCGAATCCCGCGGAGGTTAACGACTTTTAACATTTGGATCATTTAAAGATATATTTAATACAAAATACAGAGGTTATCTACGCAAATTATGCATAGTGCAAAACAGTGGTGTAATTGTCACAATTGCCGTTTTGGGGAGTGACTGAATTCACGATCAAAAATCGTGTTAAAAACCGAAACAAACTAAGGAAAACCTCGGTATTAACTAACAGGTGAGAGACCAGAGTATCAGGTTTTTGGACAAAGATAACAGATAGAAAGGAAAAGATAAAAATCGATACTTACTTTTTCCATCATGGCAGGCTGATCGTACATCCATGCCAAGCCCAAGCGAGCTTTCTCGTCACCAAGCAGTACTCGATTTTCTAACGTTTCTTGTTCGCGCCTGTATTGATCCAGTTTTTCTGCCTCACGTTTAGTGTCATATTCGTTGGCCTGCTCAGCCATCCATTTCCGCTTGATGTTTTCAAAATTGGTTGGATGGAAAAACTTTTTGCACATATAATTATTATATCCTTTACCCATATTGAAGGAAGACAAACTGAAACAGGAAGAGGAAAGGAATGACCTGAAACATCTGAGGGTTGTCAACAAAATTAAAGATAAATGACATGCGGATTCTACTCCTGTGTGATATGTAAAGAATTACAGTAGTCTGTAGTGAACAGGGATCGCACAAAATAAAAAACCCAACTTAAATTGAAAAAACACAAAAATCCTTTTCGTTTGTTACCACTGGAGTATTGGAGGCACAACTCCTCAGCTCCTACGATCGCGTCCGCCGAGGAGATCAACGAGAAATGACCGTGGAGTGCCAACCACGTATATTCTCACTGGGCCTGAGTATAGAGACAGCACGCTGGCTAGTGCCGAAGAAGTGTGTCGAAAGCAGCGCTAGCGGTTGCCGCGTGCGCGAAACGTACAGTCAAACGAGTGGCAGACGGGAAGTGATCAGCTGAATAGTACAGATGTAGTTCAGTTCCGTTCACCCAGCCACTAACCTTGGGCTTCTGTGTGATGGCTTTGATTGCTACCTCGCGGTATTGTCGAGTTGGAGGCAGAATGAATAGAAGCGTGAAGCAAAGAGGTGCCGAAAGCAGAGTAATAAGCGAGAAGCGCGAAAACAAAGGAGTTCGAATACAACTAGGCCATTGGCCGCAACATCTAGCCATGTCCCCAGATGTCTCCAACTGTCTGACAGATGGGTCTCGAGAAACCCAACCCAGAATTCTCACACGACCTATTTCATCACGTTTATTGGTCAAGGTTTCATACCTTTTGCCATGTCGTGAACCGACCACCTTGACTTACCTTACCACCAATGCTTGCCTCGGAGAATGGCGTAAACCAAGGAAGTCTATCGGTGGGCATGCGTAACACAAGTCCCAGCCACCTCAACCTATTTAGACTCAGCACTTGTTCCGACCACCAGTTCCTAACACCCTACGCCTTAACCTCAGCATTGGTGATACAGTGTTCCCACCATATGCTAGCAATACTGCTGAAATACCGATGATCAAAAACACTGATAGTCTTTCTTTACCTCCCATTCGTAACGGCTATGATTCTGAGCAGACGGGTCAGAAAGATTACCGCGTTGGGAAATAAGAAAAACCAAGGCGTGTTTTGCAATGTATCGGAAAAGCAGAAAATTGAGAGACAGACAGAGAGAGAGAAGACGACGTAGAAGGGGATCCAACTCAGGAGCACACATTTTGAGGACGATGAGTAGTATACTGTCTGGACCGGGTGGTTTGCATACGTCAAGAGGACGCAGTGCTTGGCGGATCTTCCTAATGTTGTTGAGGTAGAAAACAGTGGGCGGAGAGAAGAGAAGGAACGGGAGGAGTAGGATAGGTGGGTAAAGTGGAGTTGGAAGCCAACCGGGGAACAAAAACCTTAGTCTCCTCGTTTGGTTCATAGACAAGATCACCAAAGGAATTACAAATGGGAGGAAAATCGGAAGGGCAGAAATTGCGGAAGACTGCTTTGAAAAGAGACCAAAATGTTCGGCTTCCGGTGGCAGATGATAGTAAGCGTTCGGCTTTCCAGCAGCTCTCTGTATGGTTGACGAGCATCTGTTCCTAGCTTGCACGAAGGGGTGTTGAAAGTCGGGAGTGGGCGGGCGGCGCCGGCGGCAAAATGTTGAACGCTCTAAGCGTATAGTACGATCACATGCGTGGTTGAATAATTAGGGGGATTAGGGTTTGCCGGGTTTAGAGAAGTGTAGAATAAAAAGTTACACACCTTGAACAATGTCGGTGAAGTTAGAAGCGGAAGCCGAAACGTCCGAAGTAAAGCAGCAATCGTTACAAGGGTAGAAAGCTAGGGAATTGAGAAAGTCGTCTTAGCTGGCTGAACTGTAGTTCAGTTCAGATCAGTCCAACCATCAACCTCACACTCATGTGCTCTGGTTTCGGTTGCTATCTCAGCATTATCGAGTCGAGGGCAAAAAGAATAGAAGCATTAAATCAAAAAAGTCAAATCAAGGTAATAAACGAGAATCACGAAGACAAAGACAGAACACCAATCCGATCACGCCACCTAGCCATATCACTTAATACATCCAACCGTCTGTTAGGTGGATCTCGTGAACCCCAACGCGGAAGTTTAACACATTCTACTTGGCCAAGTTCACTGGTCAAGGTTTTCTAAGCTTTCTGCCATGCCATGGACTGACCACCTCGACCTACCACCTCACCGCTACATGCCTTGGAGAACGGCGCAACCTGTTGAGATTCAGTACTTGATCCAGAGACTCACTTCTGGTTCTCAACACCTTACGTCTAACCTCAGCAGTGCAGATAAGATGTTCACATCATATCCAGCGATACCAGAGCATCCATGTCTTCGTAGTATAGCCGGCTGAACTGTAGCGCCAAAATGTGTCTCCAAGTGGGTGGAGGATCGGGGCGAGTAAAACAGACTGACCAGGGAACAATATAGTGGTTAGATGAGCCAAGTAGAGCAACAGCTGAAATGTCTAAGAGAGAACTAATATAAGTGAGAATAAGATAAAGGATATGTGGACACGGTCGCCAGCTGGATCGGGGATACGTGTGGGGAGGTCAACTAGTCGGCACAGCTTGTTCACTACGGCGAAATGCTCGGCTTCGCGCCCAAGAGCCAAAGTGTCCGATAAGTGAATCAAACAATCCCGATTGTGAACACTATAATCTAAGATGATGATAACAGTTAGAATCTGTCACAAGCAAGTGTCCAATGTTCGAAGATGGATGAGTCGCCACTGTTGTATGAACAGTAAACAACACAAAGGTAGTGATTAAATTTTTTTATTACACAAAGTGATTTACTGTAAAAGGGGCGAACCCTAAGTCAAAAGACTGCAAAAAAAGATGTAATGGGAAACATTCAAGTAAGATTTAGTCTTTTGATCCTAATTTAAAAAAAGACTGTAAGCAGTTGGAAATACAAAAAGAGGTAGAGTGGTCCGAAACTTTGCAGTACGGGGATGTGATGGTATGGTTGGGCACATCGTTCGACAGACGGTTTAGTCTCCCTGGTACAGAGTGCATCAGCACCGGCCCTGCACCAAGCCCACGAAGCCACGAGTGATAGGACATCCGATCGATGGCGTGAATCGATAGCTGGGAGACGAATCCTGTCAGCGGCATTTAAGTCTCAAAGCGTGGTCGCCAACAACAGTCGGACCAACGCACTGGATGCAACGAGTGGTTACATGAACTGACAACCTATATATTCTTGCTTTTCCACAAGTAGAATGAGACAGTTAGCAGATAGAACAGAACTTCCACTAGAGTCAGTGGGACGGTACAAAACAAGGGAATGAAAGAAGATTGAAAAAAGTTCGACATCTACGGACAGAGACTTGATCTGGGTGACTGGCCGCCTGCATACGAGATGAACGAGAAAGTCACGAGAGGACTTGACGAAGTAATTTCAGATAAACACAAACCAAAATAATGGCGGTAGAAAAGAGACAGTCAAGCAACTTCCCGGCGATGGGCAAGTGGCTGCAAAGTGGAGATTAGGAAGAGATCGTCGATGAACCGGGCAGCCTTTCGTTGAATCCGATCGAGAAGAGCAAAAGCGATGGACAAAGCTCCACCCCATATACGTGTGCAGTATTCAAGCGTCGGACAGATTTCAGCCTTGTACAAAAGAGCGTAAACGAATGTAAAAAAGCGTCCGGCGCGGAATAGAAAACCAGCTTTGCGCGCAGCGCGGAAGACAAGCGTAGACACAAAAGGATACCAACAGAAATGGATTTACGGATAAGCCCAGCAAGGAAAGTGACGCTGTGGAGCGAGGAATCCAGCCAAAATTCCGGTGAGGAGAATAGGGGAGATGTTTAAATGAATAAGAAAGGAAAGAAGTTTTGAAGCATTGAAATACGCATTGATGGTAAAACCTCAAGCTGAGATTTGTTCTACATCAGAAGCAAGTCATGCATTAATAACAAGACTATCGTGATCGATGTTGGTTTTGCCCTGGCGAGTGGTAAGGTAAGACAGGGAGCAATGGAGATTGTCATCATCGGCAAACAGTGAAGTGGATTCAAGGTTGAAGATAGACGATCAAACATTAGAAAAGAGAAAGAAGTTTCTTTGACACACCCTTCTGTGAGCGGTAGCGCCAGAAAACTGTGCGGTCGACTGAATCGAACAGCAGTTTCAGATCAAGAAAGACAGATTGTGGGTCTTCGGAAGATGTGTCTGTGCTCTAAGATTCGTCAAAGAGTGAAGATGTGGTCGACACATCCCCGACTGGGTCTGAAATCAGCTTGATTCTCATGCGTTCATATTTCGCGGGCGTTAAATAATCGGTGGAACAATTTGGAGGCGATACTCACCTATCTAATTCCTCATGGGTTTTCACAAGAAAACCTGTCACCTTTCTTGTAAATCGGTACAATCACCGATTCATACTATTCCTTGGGAATCTGCTCCCTAACCCAGATTACCCAGAGGAGTTTTGTTAAGCCCAAAACTAAACGTTCGCCTCCATCTTTGAAAGAGGATGGAGCCAACCCATACGGCTCAGCGGCAGGTAATCTACTTCCCGCATAACTTCCATTTCTGATGAAGGAGTGATATCTACCTGCATCGGTTCTCTTGCAGGTACATGCGGAAGATCCACTGTTGAAGTGGAGCAACTGAACTGTCCCTAAAGTGCTGCATCTAACGGCCCAGAGGACGCCTTTGAGTGCGAATCAGTGAGTGGTCGGGTTCCTTGATTAAATCACTTACACCAGACCTCCGTGAACCGGTACATCTAACCAAACGGTAAAGGAGTGCTAGTACTGCCAACAGACTCAGCCTCTTTCACTTCCCTACTTCACGCAATCCATCTTTGTTTACGGTCACATCACAGGCTCCCCGTCAGTTGCCGAATCAGGGATTTACGCACTCTACTGAGTGTAGCATCGGGAGGTACGAATCTGCGAGCATCCAACAGAGCAAATGATGTCACAGATATCCGTTGTTTGTGACGTTTACTTGGACCGGAGTCCTGTGTGGCACCAGAAGCGGTATATTCTGTTGCCAGCGTTCATTTAGG